TGGAGAGGATGGGGAGCTTCCTGGGCAGACGGCCAAGGGCTGGGGGAGTGAGGAGGAGCCTCCTCGGAAGCTCTGGCTTCCATTGTGTTAAAGCACAATGTCTCTGTCTACATGTGTGGCAGGCATGTGCTGTGTGTGTGTATGTGTGTGTGTGCGCGCGCATGTGCACGCGTATGCAGGCAGAAGAAGAGGGAAGACCAAAAAGTATCCTGTTTAAGTCTCCAGAGCAATCAAGACACCTTCTGGATTGATCTGTGATTGGACACCTTCTGGATTGATCTGTGATTGGAGGAGCTCCCTCCCTGAAAGGAAGGGTGCATACTATGTGGATAGTGTGAAGAGAGGTGTCCGTCCTCCGATGCAGGGGAAACCAGAGATATGTAAACGGGGCTAGTGATGAATTAACTCAAGGGTACCAGTGGTATGGTGGCCCCCGCTGAGGTCCCCCCAGCCGCGCTAGTGTGTGCCCGGAGTGAGATGTGTAGGGGGTCAAGTTGTGGAGGAGGGCTGCTGCTCTTGGTGTGGATGTTGGGAGTGGTCCCAGAGGCAGGGATAAAGCGGGGAGAAATTAGGTCAGACTACTTGATAAACGGATTGAGGTTGCAAGAAGTGGCCATTGGAAGGGGCTGCATAGTTGAAAGCAGAAAAGACAGAGTATAGAGGAATATCTGTAAATGGGTCTGGAAAGGAAAGATGGCACCTTGGAATTGGGGCTCCAGAGGCTGTGTGGAGAGCAGTGTCTGCCCCAAGACTGCACTTGAGGTCCACTGAGGAATGGCTGTGCTCACCAAGGTCAAGGCTAAAGGAGAACGTTGGTCTTTTTGACAGACCTTCCCGGGGTTATAGTTCATTATGGGGCATAATTTTGAGTGAAAGTCTGTGAAGCAGGTGTTCATGATGATCTGTTTGTCTGACACTGACCTCTCTCATTGAGTGTGAACCGCACCCTGAGATTTCCTTACTGTGGAGAAATAGATTCTGCAGTGTGGCCTAGTAGGAAAGGGCACACAACCTGGGGACCCACAGACTTGGGTCCAGATCCTGGCTCACCACCTTTTGGATGCATTTGTTAACCCCCATGCATTGATTTCCATGGCCCCTGGGGCCTACTTGTCTCCATCTCTAACTCCCAGCACAGTGTGGAGAAATTACATATTTTGGAGTCAAATTCGTGTTCATTATGGGTCTCTGCCTGACACCCGCCTCTTTGTAGACTGTAAGTCAAGACTGTATCAACCTAAGGTTTCTTCGTTGCTGAGAGTCTCAACCTTTAGACTATGAACTCCTCAAGGGTGGGGACCACATCTATTTTTCTATGGGTCCCAAACACCTTGACCTGTGCCTGGAGTACTTGATTAATAGACGTCTGTGACACCGAATTGATCTTTGGTGATATCATTGTTCAGATCTTGGTTTTCTCATCGGTAAAATGTAGACAAGGAGTAGTGCCCACGCTGGGGTTGCAGTGTGGCCTGAATGAAATGAGCACCTTACCAAAAGGCCTGTAGGACATCTGGCACATAAGGAGGTCTTCGCACACCCTGTGAATACACGAACTTTCTGAGTTTACCATCTTCTAATGGAATAGAGAAGGAATTCTCATTCCTCAGGTGAGGGTGATGGAAGTGTCCATGGATTCTGGGAGACCTTTGCTTGGGGTTTGCCTGAGTCCACTTTGTACAATTTCTTCTCTTGAGATGCCCAAAGTTTAGGCGTTCCTGGTAAAGGGCCTGGAGTTGTCCTTCCCACAGAGGGTGCCAGGGTCAAGGAGACGGGTTAGAGGTGGAGATTGGCAGTGGAGAGGGTGGGTAGAGGGGAGGGGGGACGCTTCTTTATGAAAGTGTGAAGAGGTCCCCCTTGCCAACAGTGGGTTTGGCTTCTAGGTTGCACCCTGAGGATGGAACAAGAGGGAACAAGCTATGTTTATGCACCATGAAGACTCAGGGTGCACTCGGAAGAAACTTCCTGAGGCTTCCAAAGCTGGTGGTCTCATTCTATCTCAAGGGATTATTCCTAAAGTTGAGGCAATTCCTGATAGTCTGGTTCAAGAGAAAATGGCCATTGATGACCTTTCCATTGTGTTGTTTGGTTGCTTTCTAAAATACACCCCTCACAGAGGTATATGGTTTTGCAAAAGATTCAAAGAATACGCACATTGGCAAATAAAAGGAAAAGGTGACCGTCCCCTTGGTTCCCAAGCTACGGCCTTCATTCTCACTTTCTTCCAGGGGGACACAGTTTGATGCATATTCCTTCAGAACTTTGCCCATCCACTTACACGTATATGTACATAAATGAAAACAGATAGAAGCCTAATTGGGATCATACTGTTTGCATTGTTTCATAACATATTTTTCTAGGAAATATGTTTGGGAATCTTCCCATGTTTGTACATATAGATTGGCCTTAAAGCCTCCATAGTATTCTATAACATGAATTATCATTTTTGACTACTTTTAATGGATATTTGATGGGTCTTCTGATTACAAATGAAGTGGAAATGTTAAACATTATTAATTAATCATTAAACATTTTTACTGACTTGCCTATTCATGATATCCTTCCATTTTTATTTCTATTGGTATTTGGTCATTTAGAATTGATTTTAGGTTACTGCCTAGAGTCCAGACATTAATCCTTCATGTGCCACACATATTGCAAATATTTTCTCCCAATCTCTCGCTTGTTTCCTTGTTTATGAGTCTTTTATTGTACAGAAGCTTTACTTTGTAAATTGTCACATCAGTCAACTATTTTCTTTATGACCTTCAGGTGTTATGTTTTGCTTGAAAAGCCTTTCTCAGATCTAGATGATAGACTCTTATTTTTTGTCATGTGATATTTTGTTTTTATTTATTTATTTTTAAAGCTTATTTATTTTGAGAGAGAGAGAGCACAAGCAGGGGAGGGGCAGAGAGAGAGGAAGAGAGAGAGAGAGAATTCTAAGCAGGCCCTGTGCGTTCAACACAGAGCCCAATGCAGGACTTGAACTCCCAAACTGCGAGGTCATGACCTGAGCCAAAGTTGGACACTTGACTGACTGAGCCACCCAGGTATTCTTCATGTGATATTTTAAAGTTGTTTTTTACTTTGTCATTTTGACATACTTGGACTTAATTTTGGATGGTGGTATGTATCTATTATTTATTTGTTGATGGAACATGTTAATAATGTAGATGGGTAAGGCAGATAGTGGCAAAGATAATTCCAAATAGCAAAGAAATGTTTAGCTTTGAAATCATGTGAGTGTATATTTTTATTTTGGGTGGTCAGATTTTAAGAAATTCATAAGATGTTTGCGATAATAAATTTAAACAATGCAGAAATACATGACGTAAAAACTGAAGGTCCATCAAGCTTCCAGACCCAATCCTCCTTTGCGTGAATTGAATTTTTTTATGACAAGCACATCTTACAAAAGTAAGATACATATCTCTTGGCTGTTTGTATTTCTCCTGTGAATTACATCCTTGTATCTTTTATCAGATCTTTTTTCTTTTGTTAATTTTTAATTTAATTAATTTAATTTAATTTTAGAGATTGAGAGGGAGAGAGAGCCTGAGCAGGGGAGAGGGGCAGAGGGAGAGAGAGAGAGAGAGAGAGAGAATCCCAAGCAGGCTCCACACTCAGCACGGAGCCCTATGCAGAGCTCAATCCCATAACCCTGGGATCATGACCTGAGCTGAAATCAAGAACCATATGCTCAACTGACTAAGCCACCAAGGTGCCCCTGTTCTTTTCTTCTATTGGGTAATTTTTTTTTTTTTGGTATTGATGTGCAGGCAATCTTTGTATATTAAAACAATGGCTCTGATTATTATTTATGTTCCAGATATTTTGGACATTCTAGTCTGTAATGATTATCTATTAAGTAACAGCATTTATTATCAGTTTTCATTTCATTCGTTCATTCATTCATTCATTCATTCACCCATTCATTCATTTCTGAAGGGTTGAACAACATAATGGAAAAGATCGCCAAATCATGAATAAAAATGGTGAGGTTTGTGACTTGGCACATCACTGTGTAAGTCACTGGAGATCTGTGCTTCCACGTTCTCTCTTCCAAGATGAAGACGCTGCATTAAGCTCTAAGATCCCAAACTTCTCTGACTGTTATTCAGCTGCTGCGTTTGCAGCAGCCACATTCTCTGGGCAGGACGGCAGCTTCACATCCTGGATGTGTTGTGCCCACGTCCATAACAGTGATTCTGATTCCCTGGCCACATATACTGACCAGAAAATGGGGCAGTGGGGGGAATATTAGGTAACGAGCAGAAAGGCACTGACTTGGGTGGGCCCAGTGCCCCAGAGATGACACAGAAGGGCTGGAGAAGCAGGAGATGAGACATGGCATCTTAGACAAGTCCCTTTTCCTATCGTGGCCTCCTATTTTGATCTGGGAAGTGGGAATGGGGAACAGTGGGAGACCAGGGATTTCTAAGCTTCTTGCCAGCTCTGAGGTTCTGTGATGGCCCACAGAAGTCACACGTGGGGTTTCTGTGGCTCGTGGGCTGGCTGTTTGTCTGCTTATCTCCCCTCCTCCCTGCAGGAGGTAACCTCTCCGTCCCTAACACACTGTGTGCCAGTAGCTTCTGTGTTAACAGCATTGATCCGACAGTTAGTGCCTGGCTCCGTCTGAGCAACTTGAGGACAAGACTTCTCAATAACTTTTTAAAAACCTTAGTAAAAAACATTTTAGTCCCTTCCCTGTCTTATTTCGATACACGCTACTGTAGAAAAAACAAAGTTCATAAAGCAGGTAAGGTATCCTATCAGAGGATATATTTACTACTAGCATTATCTCGTCTATGGGTTCTTTCTTTGTATCCTGTATGCACGATTTTGTATTCTGGGTTTTTCACTTATGGCACAATTATTTACTTGTGTCATTAAATGTTCTCCATAAGCCTAATTTATAATCACTGTATATCAGTGGGGCAGGACACTGTATTGCTCAAAAATATCTTCACATGTCTATGCCATCTTTTTCCCCAAAGCAACATTGGAGAAGAGCGTGTGTGACTATATCATGAGGATGGAAGCGAAGCTCGCAGCAATTACTGGGATTTCCTTGGTTCATGGAGTTGGCCGGATGCAAGATGGAGCCACTTCGTACCTGCTGTCCACACGGGCATGACAATTCACTGTATTTCCACACTTAGAATGTTCCCTTCTGCCAATAATTCTGTAAGGAAGGTGGCTAGGAATTATTGTCTTCTTTACTGAGAGCAAAACAGGCTCAGAGCATTGAATGATTTGCCCAAGGACACAGAACATCAGCGACCAGACCTGGAATCCTCCTTTCCTGACTCCAGGTTTGGCACTCTGGTGTCCCCAGTTGAGGACGCTTTCCACTTAAGTCTCGATGCAACAGGAAATTTGAGTGAGGCTGGTTGGCAGCAAGATTTCAGAAATGAGAGATCAGGGTTGTCGCTAGAGGGAAAGCCAATCCTCTAATCAATCCAGACATCATTTATTTATAACTGTAGAGGCTCGAAGAAGGTGAACATCAGCAGAGGAGGAGGAGGAGGGGGAGGAGGGGGAGAGAGCAGCAGAACTCATCCCAGAAGGGGCCAGAGGTGTCCTGATGCAAGGAAGCTGGGCCCAGGGAGGCTGGGAGAGGAGAGAGGACAGAGCTCAGTACGGGGGCTCCTCTTGGCAGAGAGTGTCTCTCCGGGATCAATAGGCCAGGCCTTGGAGAGTCTTCCTTCCTTGTACCTCTGCATTGAGTTCTTCAAAAGAAATGTGCTTTCATTGCCTTTCTCTCCCAGTCCAGGACAGAAATAGCTGGAAAGAAAAGACTCTGTTGTCCAGGGCAAATGGTGGGTTTGGTGTTTATCCAAAAAGCATTGGTCTCAGCTTGATTTTTCCAGAGCTGACCTGTCCGGTATGATTTTCCATCAGCATTGAGACTGCTCATTTCTCTGGCTTAGGTCTTCAGGGATGTGGGCTGGGGGGTTGTCTCCTCTCAGCCCCGTCACTGATCCTGGGGCAGCAGATGAGCCATGGTGAGAGCTAGTGGTGGCGGGTGGGGAGTGGGGAGTACTGGCTGGGAGACCTGGGTTTCCATCTGGCTTGGTCACTGTGTACTGTGTGAGTTGGGGTGGGTTAGCTTCTTGGATATGCCCTCAGTTTCTTCAACTCAAAGATAAGATGGTTGTAGTAGATGCCATTTGGGGCCCGTGGGATTCTGGTGTCCTTTGATTCATTTAGAGATAGTATAGCTCAGAGGACAAGTGTGTGGGTCTTGGAGACAGGAGTTAGACCTCCTGGGCTCCATCTAGCTCTGCTACTAGCTTTCCATTGCTATTGACTTACTAAGAGCAAGTCACTCAATCTCTTCTGCCTCTCTTGCTTCACCTATGCAATGGGCACAGTTGCTAACTCACTATCTTATTTTTTTTTTTACAAATAGTTTATTGTCAAATTAGTTTCCACATAACACTCAGTGCTCTTCCCCACAAGTGTCCTCCTCCATGCCCATCCCTCCTCCCCCCCACATCCATCAGTCCTCAGTTTTTGTCAGCATTCAAGAGTCTCTCATGGTTTGTCTCTCTCCCTTTCCCCCACCATTTCCCCCCTTCTTCTCCCCATTGTTCCTCAGTTAAGTTCCTCCTAATCCTCCTATACGTAACTCACTATCTTATTAAATAAGATGATTAAATAGGTTAATTTGGTCAAACACTCGGAACAGTGTGTGGTATACAGTAAGTGCTTTTTAAATCAATATGTATTACTATCAAGCTCAAAGAAAGGTGGGGCTGGGTACCAGAAAGGACTCCTCCCTCTTGGAAGGCACACAGCTTGGCTCCGCTGACACCAGCAGGTATTCATCATTGTTTCTTCCTCCTGGAGCACGACTGGGACTCCAGGGTTGCATCCAGACTGATCAGTGACTAAACAGCCAGCTCCTTCCTAGAACCAAACTCATTATGCCAGTAACTAATCTGGATGCTTTCAAAGAGCCTGCTTCCTACATTATTTTATTGAATCCTCTCTCAACCTGGGAGGCCCTTGGCGGAGGTGACACCAAGCTCATAGGTAGAGGCTCGTAGTTAGGAATGGTGGGGCCAGGACCTGGCTGTCCTGATTGTCTATGTAGCACTGGTCTGGGGTGAGGGCCTTTGGCCAGCCTAGGGTGTCTGTGCTTGAGGTCACCTTGTGGAGCACATAGTAGCTCAGTTTCGGGAAGAAGGGGGTGGACTGCCATGTGCCTGGTCAGTAGACCTGATTTTTGCTGATCATGTAAAAAAAAGTATGCAGACCTAGCATGCTTCTGAAATTCACTCCCTTATTGTTGGACATTTAAGCTATTTTCAGTTCTGAGCTATCATTATGTACCTATTAAACTAGTAAAAAATAATTCTTTCAGAACCTTAGAAGCAGTTACATGTGTATTTGCTGATGGCTTCATAAATTGATCCACTTTTTCAAGAGAACAATCCAGTAATATTTAAGAGCTATAAAATTGTTCCTACCCTTTGACCTGATAATTCTACTTCTGAGAATATACACCAAGGAAATAGCTTAAAAGAGAAAAAATAAGAAAGTAATTGCTCTTAGAAATGCTATTTATAAAAATTGGAAGCAACCCAAATGCCCAGCCATCAGGGTTTGGCTTCAAACCCATAGTGTATTTACATTCTAGAATATGATAGAGCTTTTAAAAATGACAAATATGGGAACCATGTCAAGGCACGGACAAGTACGCACATATGAAATAATGACGTGTGGCAAAGGGTAAGTATGTATGTTTGTATGCATTTTCCAATGACAACTACACAAAGCAGGCCAATATTTGTTCAGTGAGCTGATAAAGGTTAGATGCAAGTTGGCATTGCTTTAAATGTTCATTAACTAGTTTAAGCTTACAGTAAAAATAATATGGGTCCTTTTATAGTCGTAGATGAATAGGACCAGCTACATAATTTGTAGGGATCGCTGCTAAATGAAACTATGGGGAGCTTTGTTAAAAAAAATAGAGGTTTGAAGATGGTGACAGCAGAGCTTTAAACCAAGTGCAGGTCCTTACAAACCCTGGATCCGTGTAACTGCGCCATAAGCCTGTGAAGTCGGCCCTGGCTAGAGCTGTTCACCCAATCTACTCACTTCACCGATGAGCAAAATGAGTTCACGAAGTTCAACTTTGCCTAGGAAAACTCAGAAGCACCAACAATCCAAGGCCCCCCTCGGAGCTTGGAGTTGGTGTGGAGATGACCAACCACCACATGGGTCTAGAGAAGTTGTGGTCACAGAACTCGGGCCATTTGTCCCTGGGCCTTGCTGCCCCAGCTGGGGAGTCCACAGTGCTTTGTTCACCCACCCACTCATTTATCAAGCATTTATTCACCAGTCACGTGTCTCCAATGCTAGGCTGATGGGAACACAGAGGACAAAGACCTGGAAGCTTAGGGTTCACTTGCAAAGACAAAGGGTTATATTTGGTTAAAGCTCTGGTAGGTTTGGACTAGTGGTTTAGGCATAGCAGAGGGGCTGTGGGAAGGCCAGGGCTCTTCTGGAGATGCTGAATGACACCTGGGTCTTGAGGATGGAGTGCCTTGATCAGGAAGGTTTAGGGTCCCTGGCTACTTAGGAAACAACATTCTCTACAAAGTCCAAGTAAAGACAGTAAGTTTGGGAACTGCCAATACTGGCTTTGGGAGCAATGTCAGAATCCAGTAATAGGGAGAGAAGTCAACTAAAGCTCTGAAGTCTTTACCTGGAGACGAGCTAAAATTTCCCATTCTGTGTTTATTTAGCAGACTTTGTTACTTTGCGTGTGTTGTTCCAGCCTACGCAATCTCTTAAGATGGACGCTGGCATAATTCTTGGCTTCATGCCGTCTTGGGTTGAATCAGCATGCTGTCCATTTCTGTATCCAAGTGGTCAGTGGGAATACTGATCCTCCACTGGAAACTTCCATAAGCTGTCCACAGAACTTTGTGAGAGGCTCTGCCGCGTGTCTTCCTGACCCTGCGCTGTAGCAATTTTCTGGCCCATCACAAATGAATCTTGCGAGATGGGCAGTATTGTTTTTGGAGAGCCCCCTTGGTTTCTTGTGGGCACTGCTTGCTATTCCAAAATCTCACAGACAGACTGGCTGAGGACATTTCTCCACACCCTCCAGAAATTTCTGCTTTGACCTACTCCTGAGAAGTGGGGTTGTCCATAGTGAGTTTAGAAACAGAAAAATACAGAGCTCCTTCCCTGTATCTCCCCACCCTCACAACATACACAGTCCGGGCCACACATCTAATCCTTGGCTCAAATGTTAGTACTACCAGATGTCTGCCCCTAGTGTGTGGAGCCCCGTGTGTCATGCACTTGATCACTGACTTCCCCATACGGGGCCGGTACAAACACCCAGGGAAGCTGGACTCAGGAAATGACCACAGGACTGTTCGATTCATTTGCTCTTGAAACCTTCAAATATTGTCCTTTGCTACTCAGCTGAGTTTGTGCTTGCTACTCAGTTTTAAGAATTAATCATCTTGGGGAACTTGAGTGGCTCAGTCGGTTAAGCGTCTGACTTTGGCTCAGGTCATGATCTCATGGTTTGTGAGTTCAAGCCCCACATCGGGCTCTGTGCTGACAGCTTGGAGCCTGGGCCCTGCTTCAGATTCTGTGTCTCCCTCTCTCTGTTCCTCCCTCACTTATGCTCTGTCTCTCAAAAATGAATAAATGTTAAAAAAACTAAAAAAAGAATTAATCATCTTTTGTATTTACATGTAAATGTTCTTAGTGAAAATATTTGAGAAAAAAGTTACTCTACTCATTACCAAACAGAGTCATCATCAACAATCTGTGATAACCATTTTGTCTGTATGCATATAAATAGAGATCTCTTAGGTAGTTGGAGAAATAATTTGGTCAAGATGGAATCACACTGTGCAGGGCATTTTTACTAAGCATGTATTAAATTTAACTGAAAATTAAAAAAAAATTGTTTTATTTATTTTTGAGACAGAGAGAGACAGAATATGAGTAGGGGAGAGGCAGAGAAAGGGAAACACAGAATTTGAAACAGGCTCCAGGCTCTGAGCTGTCAGCACAGAACCTGATGTGGGGCTCAAACCCACAAGGGTGAGATCATGACCTGAGCTGAAGTCGAATGCTTAAAATACTGAACCACCCAGGCGCCCCTTAAATGAAAAGTTTTTAATGGTTATTTATTTTTTGAGAGAGAA